ATTCAAGAGATGTTACTGCAGAGAGACAGAGTGTTGGCACAATTGAAGGTGAATTTGATGTTGGCTCAGCAGCGAATGAAGAAATATGCTGATCAAAAGAGATTGCATAAGGAATTTGTGGAGGGTGAAATGGTTTTGGTGAAGCTTCAACCTTATCGTCAACATTCCTTAGCCTTAAGAAAGAATCAGAAACTGGGATTACGCTATTTTGGTCCCTTTCCAATTCAGAAGCGCATTGGTTCCGTGGCTTACAAGTTGCTACTACCGGATTATGCTAAGATCCATCCAGTATTTCATATATCTCAGCTTAAGCAATTTCGAGGGGTTACTGATACAGTTTATGTACCATTGCCTTTAACAACTGCTGTGGAGGGACCTGTTGTGCAACCAATTCAAGTACTTAGTGTGAGGGACATCATTCAAGCGGGGAAATTGGTGCGCCAAGTCCTGGTCCAGTGGGAAGGATTTGGTGTGGATGCAGCAACTTGGGAAGACCTTGACAAATTGGAGCAGAGTTATCCAAATATCAACCTTGAGGACAAGGTTATTGCAAAAGGGGGGAGTAGTGTAACAGAAGAGGTACACGAGTGGAATGAGAAATCAAAAGTAAAAGAGCATGTGCAGTCTGTTAGCTCAAGTGGACAGGTGGCAATCAGTGAAGGAGGAGATGCTGAAATTAAGATCAAGCGTGTGAGAAGGCCAAGTGTGCGTATGAGGGAATATGTGTGGCAGAAGAATTAGTTAAATACCAGGGTGGGGTAGGAGAGAGAATTTAGGCAATGATTGGGAAATTATTCTTCTCTCTCTCAGTGTATTTTTTTTCTTTCATTGCTGAAGTATGTACTGAACTTTCCATTAAATACCAATTGAGTGATTCCCTATGATCTCGTTTGATCTCATAGGAAGTGCACTCTTTCCAGTTTTCCATTAAGTGGTTGTGCTGTCCTTCTCAGTTTAATTGCTGCACTGTTTAATTGTTAGAATTAATTCCTCCTTGTTACATTTGGTGCTTTCATTACCCCCACAATGTCTTCTTCTTCTCCATTATCGGAACTGGCTCAGATCCTGGAGCATTTGGAAAAAAAGGATCGTGAACATGCTCGTGAGATCAATGAGCTGCGACATGATTTTGATGAATTCAGAGCCAGTGTTCAAAGTGGAGGGTTGAACTCAAAAGGATTCCAGAACCCATTACAAGTGAGGAACGTGAAGCTCGATTTTCCGAGGTTCGATGGCTCTGATGTCCTACAATGGATCTTCCGGGCCGAACAGTTCTTCGAATACTATAACACCCCTGATGAGCAACGCATTGTGATAGCTGCTGTCCATTTCGAGAAGAACGTTGTGCCGTGGTACCAAATGATGCAACGAACCAGTCCCATTATTTCGTGGAACACATTGACGCGATCCTTGGAATTGGAGTTTGGACCGTCGCCATTTGATTCACCGCGCTCTACTCTCTTTAAATTGGTACAAACAGGTTCAGTCAATGACTACTATATTGAATTTACTAATTTGGCTAATCGTATTTATGGCGTTAGTGCTGAGGCCTTGTTAGATTGTTTTATAAGTGGATTGAAACCTGATATTAAGAGAGAGATTATTGCTCAAGCACCTAATTCTTTATTAAAAGCTATTTCACTTGCTCGGTTATTCGAAGAAAAATACAGTTTCAGATCTCGACAGTCTTTTGTTACTCGCAATACTTCACATTCGGCAGGGAACCAGTCCTATACAAATCCTGCCCAGCAGCCCCTCTTGAATACCCCTAATATCAAACCAGCTGCTTTTCCAAATAGAAATACTGCGGTGCGGAAAATGTCCCCTGCTGAAATGCAGTCGAGACGAGAACGAGGTTTATGTTTTACTTGTGATGAGAGGTTTTCTGCTAACCATAGGTGTCCCAACAAACAATATCTCCTTTTACAAGTTGAGGATGAGGAGGAATTGGAGGAAACAACCAATGTGGACAGTACTGCATTAGAAGACGAATTAGAGCACCACTTGTCTTTCAATGCCCTGAAAGGAGTTGCAACTGTGGGTACAATGCGGTTTACAGGTTCTATTGCGGGAAAGGAAGTTCACATCTTACTTGATAGCGGTAGTAGCGACAATTTCTTGCAACCTAAGCTTGCTCATTATTTGAAATTACCTATTGAACCTGCTGCTGGGTTACAGGTTATGGTAGGCAATGGAAGTTCCTTGTCCACTGAGGGCAAGATATTGAATTTGCAAGTTCAGGTACAGGGTCAAGTCCTTCAACTGCCAGTTTATTTGCTCTCGGTCTCAGGAGCAGATTTGGTTTTAGGTGCTGCGTGGTTAGCCACATTGGGTCCGCACATCGCCGATTACGGTTCTCTTACTATTAAGTTCTACAAGGACAAGAAATTAGTGACTCTGCAAGGTGAAAAGTCCAGGCCTGCTGCCATGTCTCAATTCCACCACCTCAAGCGACTTAATCATACTCAAGGTATTGCTGAAGTTTATACGCTGCAGCTCCTGTCCTCTTTTGTTGAAACTGATCAATGGAAGGATATTCCTGATAATGTTGATCCTGAAATTGCTCTTTTGTTGCACTACTATCGCCAAATTTTTGCTAAGCCTACTGGTTTACCACCTCCTAGATCGCAGAACCACAGAATTCCATTGTTACAAGGAAGTGGTCCAGTGAAAGTCAGGCCGTATAAATACCCCCATAGTCAGAAACAGCAGATTGAACTTATGATCAAAGAAATGCTTGAGGATGGGATTATTGCACCTAGTTCGAGTCCGTTTTCTTCTCCGATCATTTTGGTCAAGAAGAAGGATGGTTCATGGCGTTTTTGCACTGACTATAGGGCACTTAATGCTATCACTGTTAAAGACAGTTTTCCAATTCCTACTGTAGAGGATTTGCTGGATGAGTTGTTTGGCGCTAAGTATTTCTCCAAGTTAGATCTTAGAGCTGGGTATCACCAGATTTTGGTTCAAGAGGAGGATAGATACAAAACAGCTTTTCGCACTCATCAAGGGCATTATGAGTGGTTAGTAATGCCTTTTGGATTGACAAATGCTCCTGCAACGTTCCAGAATTTAATGAATGACATATTTCAAGGGCTTTTGCGCAAATCAGTCTTGGTGTTCTTTGACGATATACTGGTTTATAGCTCTTCTTGGTTCTTGCATTTACAACACCTTCAACAGGTTTTGGATATTCTGGCGAAGCATGAACTGTATGCGAAGATGTCTAAATGCTCATTTGGCTTAGAGCAGGTGGAGTATCTTGGTCATGTGGTATCTGGCGATGGGGTCTCTATGGAGACTAGTAAGGTGCAAGCTGTCATTGATTGGCCAGTCCCTAAAACAATCAAACAACTCCGTGGTTTTTTAGGCCTTACGGGTTATTATAGAAGGTTTATCCAAGGTTATGCTTCCATTGCTAACCCTTTGACGGATCTATTGAAAAAGGACAACTTCAAGTGGTCCAACGAGGCTGATGCTGCCTTTATCGCACTTAAGCAGGCCATTACAACCGCTCCTGTCCTATCTCTTCCTGATTTTTCTCAACCGTTTGTGTTAGAAACAGATGCTTCAGGGTCTGGAATTGGTGCAGTCCTCAGTCAAAATAAGCATCCTATTGCTTTCTTTTCCAAAAAGCTCTCGAACCGAATGACTAAGCAATCTGCTTACACTCGTGAATTTTATGCTATCACTGAAGCTATTGCTAAGTTTCGGCATTATTTGCTTGGTCACAGATTTATTATAAGAACTGATCAGAAAAGTCTTAAGTCTCTCTTGGACCAAACCTTGCAAACGCCTGAACAACAAGCTTGGTTGCATAAATTCCTTGGTTATGACTTTTCCATTGAGTACAAACCAGGGACTGAGAATTTGGCTGCAGATGCGCTGTCACGATCATTTTTTATGGCTAGTGCGGTCACAGCTTCTGACTTGGTCCACCAGATCAAGGCAGCCTTGGGATCAGATACTGCCCTACAACCTATACTTACTGCTCACTCGCAGGGAAAGGCTTTGTCTGCTCCTTACTCATTTTTGGATGGGTTACTGTTTTGGAAAGGCAGAATCGTGGTTCCTAATGTCCCAGCCATTCAAAACCAGATTCTACAGGAGTTTCATTCTTCACCCTTGGGAGGTCATTCGGGTATTGCGCGTACATTTGCAAGAGTAGCAGCCCAATTCTTTTGGCCAGGAATGAACAAGGATATCAAAAATTTCGTGCAGCAGTGTTGTGTTTGCCAGCAAGCAAAGACAGCAACAGTTTTGCCTGCTGGTCTTTTACAACCCTTGCCAATTCCTACTCAGATCTGGGAAGATATCAGTATGGATTTCATTGTTGGACTACCACCTGCTGAGGGTTACACAGTGATATTTGTAATCGTGGATAGGCTGTCAAAGTATGCTCACTTTGCGCCTCTAAAGTCTGACTTTAACAGCAAACGAGTAGCAGACGTTTTTCTCCATACTGTGGTTAAGTTACATGGCTTTCCCAACTCTATTGTGTCTGATAGAGACAAGGTATTTACGAGTACCTTTTGGCAGCATTTACTGAAACTGAGTGGTACAACACTTAAGCTTAGCACGGCTTACCATCCTCAATCGGATGGACAGACAGAGGCATTGAACAAGTGCCTCGAGATGTATTTGCGTTGTTTCACACATGAGAAACCTAAGGACTGGATCAAATTCTTACCATGGGCAGAATTTTGGTACAACACTTCCTTTCATCATAGTGCTCAAATGTCCCCCTTTAAGGTGGTTTATGGCAGGGATCCTCCAACGCTTGTCAAGTATTCTCATTCTGCGACAGACCCACCTTCCATTCAAGAGATGTTACTGCAGAGAGACAGAGTGTTGGCACAATTGAAGGTGAATTTGATGTTGTCACTCTGGTATGTTGACACATAATTGAAAAATGATTCCTTGCCTTGAACTATTGCTTGTATAAATTTTTTATTACTACACATTCAAATATTTACCTTTTTTTTGAATATTTGTTGCAGGAAACAAAAAAGTTAATGGTCTTTGGGAGACCGTAGTATGTATACTGTATAGGCAGTGAATTCCATTACACTATACTGTTTGTTCTCATCTTGTTATCATTATTCAAAACAATAATGAACTGGAAGAAAGGGAATCATCAATTCACAAAGCTTTTGATTATTAAGATCAAAGTGGAGGGAATGGTTTCATCTATAGAAACAAAAGTCAAACTTTTACAAGAGGAACTTGATCACCTTTACATTTCAGGCTTCATTTTGGCATAGACAAGAGACAAGGAGATTTGAAGGATTCATCGGGAATGTCAAAACAAATAAGAGATGAATTTATCATGTTTTACTTAGTCAGGGGTCAATTACCAAATTTCTTGACTACCCTTACTATTTATTAGTATGGAATTAGGTATCTTTATCATTCTCTTCAATTTTGTCATGATCTTATTCATGGAAACAAACCAGAAAGTTGAGTGTAGCTCTCAGTTTCAAGTCTTATGCAAAAAAGTAAGGTTTTTTTCTTTCTCTTCTCACAGAACAACAAAAAGAGATCTTGTCCTAATAATGATGGCTCACAATGGAAACTTATCCCTAATTTCCTTCCTATCTTTCCAGTTTGCAGTTTCCACTATTTTACCTGCTAACCAACACCAATAATAACCCACTGGGAACGGAATGACATATCTAGAACTGTTACAAAATGTAGTATGACATTGTTGACAAATAATTTTTTCCCATAAGTATGTAATTAGATATTTGATTTTCGAATTCGTGTTTATGAAAACATCTTTTGGTAGAGGTTGGTCTGAAATGGATATTAAGTTTGTGCATGTGAAAGATCTACTAAACAAGTGCTAAAGAAAATTGTAGAAAAAGGGTAGGGCTGCCTATTCTACGAGTGATTAAAGATATAATAAATTACAGGCATGAGCACAACAAATTATAAAATGGTTAACTCTCATTCTCAACCATTTGATTTATCAATCAATAATCATTACTGTTCACTCAACCTCTCAACATATATTGGACACTTAAGATGATTCTAAGTCCATGAAAATTCGTCATTTGATGAATGTTGTGCGTATGCCGTTTTTCTTTAAATAGATTTTGGAGTTATAGAATCTCCAAATCTCCTCTCAGAGTTGTATTCGTAGGAAATGGAGAATCTAAGTAAGTGTGCACTTTTTAAATTTATAGACTTGGTCTATATATTAAAATTTTTTAATTTAATGATTATATTGTTGAAATTCAACATACATCATGAGTTATTGAATGAAATAACTTTTTTAAGAATTATTCTTGAAATTCATTAATTTAA